CCACAGAGAGAGCTGAATCCCCTCTTCATCCAAGTACCATCTGTTGTAACTGCGATGTCTACCGGCTCGCCTTCAGACTCGCCACTTCTCAGCGCGTCGGCAACTGTGGCCATGCTGTGGTTGGCTACTTTCTTTGCTGCTGCATGGAGTGTATCCCTATGTTTGAGAAAAGCACTGTTGGCTACAGGAGGTGGAATATCCAGGATGGCACTTGTCTTGCACAGGGCTTCCCGCGATCTACCAATACGACGCATGGCAAGCACGCTCTTCCTGTTGACCTCACAGAATTTCTTGCCCACAGGTGTCTCTGCCATTTGGGAAGTTGTCTCGGCTCCACAGTCATCACAGCACAAAATCAAAGTCGTGGATCTGCCTGCCAGCCTGCCTGCCAGATCTGCCTGCCTCCACGAGCTGAAGAGCCCTACGTTGCATACTGAGCACACACAGCTATCAGCGACCAGGCGGCTTGCAATGATGGCAAATGAATTATTCAATTTCTTTGTGAGCCATGATCATCAGGCTGCTCAACATCATCTCTATCCTCATCAAACCCGTCTGCAGCACAGCTAGCATCCCAATCACCACCATCACCATCAGAAACAGTCTCCACTAGAAGTGGTGGAACATCTTCAGGTAAACTGCGATCGCTCTCAGATTCAGAATCACTTGGTGGAATTTGAATTTTTTTAGAATATTCAAGCGAATTGATTTCCTTTGAAAGCTCGCTTTCTGCTCTTGTATCGACGACTGCCCTTTCTCTTGTTGCCCATAGTCTCACTATGAAGCTATCGACAATGCTACACAAACCAGCTGACATTTCTGTCGTTCTAAAACTACAAGAAGGCCAACCGACGGCAACCGTCGTCCTCAAGGCTCAACTGATTCTTCAACTTTCGAAAAATAGTGAAAAATCGTGATTTTGGAAAAAAAGAGCGGCGCGTGGAAAATCTGGTCTTGTAACCATGGCAGTCAAAGCAGCGTGTCTTTCTCCGCAGACGGTGGGAGTTTGAGCAAAATCCACCACTACTTTGAAGTTTCATAATAATTTCCTAAAAGTTGAAGTTTTTCAATTTTAATATGGCAATAAGTAGGACGAGCTGAAGCGACATGTGGACTACTTTATTAACAATGTAAGCGATGGAGACGATGCAAGAAACGACCTAAAGGGTAAGGAAAAATACATGTAAGAAGAAAAAGGGCAATGGAAAAAAAGATGATTCGAACAAGTTTTCGTACAACACTCTTCAGGAATCACCGTTGTACTAAAGAACAAAATGAGAACAAAGGAAATAATATAGCAATCAAGGTAGGGTGACACGATACAATGACAGCACTGGAATATCGAGGTGCTATTTCTCACAAAAGTGTGCAGAACACAAGGGTATACAAGTAAGAACTAAGCGTGACAAGTGTGTATCAGCAACAAAAACAAAAAAGTGAGAACGAATGATAATAATAATAACAATAATAAACAAGAAGGTGACAAAACACTACACAAAAGAACATTATTTGAACAATTTTAGGGTAATAACACTATCTTTCTGGACACACAAATTCGGCTTATGAATGCGCTGACAAACAGCTTCCAAAACTTGTAACTGCAAAAGATAACCATGACGAGCACGGCACAAAACAGAAAAACAGGAATCAGAATAAGTACGACAACAGTCAGTACTAGAAACCAAATGATGGTATACTGAAGACTTATTACGAGACGGACGCACACAATCTCGACTCACGCGCACACCCTCACACTCACTCTCACCCCCACCCAGCTCACCTTCTCCCTCACTGTCCGAATCAGAACCTGCTCCGTCATCCACAGCGGTTCGACTCTCCTCCTCACTTGCATCGTCCTGCGTCTCACCTTCACCACCCACGCCAACCGTGAATGCCGTTGCCTTCATGTCAGTCGTCGTCCTTTCCGATTGTTTCCTTTGTATTTTTACCGTGAATTCATAGGTCCGGTTGTAATCTGCTGTAGATCTCCGTGGTCTGTCATTTGCTGCTTTGTTTTGTGGATTAGTTGTCTGACATGAAGGCATGAAGGCCGCTGTGGATGACGGAGCAGGTTCTGATTCGGACAGTGAGGGAGAAGGTGAGCTGGGTGGGGGTGAGAGTGAGTGTGAGGGTGTGCGCGTGAGTCGAGATTGTGTGCGTCCGTCTCGTAATAAGTCTTCAGTATACAATCATTTGGTTTCTAGTACTGACTGTTGTCGTACTTATTCTGATTCCTGTTTTTCTGTTTTGTGCCGTGCTCGTCATGGTTATCTTTTGCAGTTACAAGTTTTGGAAGCTGTTTGTCAGCGCATTCATAAGCCGAATTTGTGTGTCCAGAAAGATAGTGTTATTACCCTAAAATTGTTCAAATAATGTTCTTTTGTGTAGTGTTTTGTCACCTTCTTGTTTATTATTGTTATTATTATTATTATCATTCGTTCTCACTTTTTTGTTTTTGTTGCTGATACACACTTGTCACGCTTAGTTCTTACTTGTATACCCTTGTGTTCTGCACACTTTTGTGAGAAATAGCACCTCGATATTCCAGTGCTGTCATTGTATCGTGTCACCCTACCTTGATTGCTATATTATTTCCTTTGTTCTCATTTTGTTCTTTAGTACAACGGTGATTCCTGAAGAGTGTTGTACGAAAACTTGTTCGAATCATCTTTTTTTCCATTGCCCTTTTTCTTCTTACATGTATTTTTCCTTACCCTTTAGGTCGTTTCTTGCATCGTCTCCATCGCTTACATTGTTAATAAAGTAGTCCACATGTCGCTTCAGCTCGTCCTACTTATTGCCATATTAAAATTATTTTTTCAATTTTGGTATTCAATAACAATTGCATAGCGCAACTTTAATGCTCCATAACTTCGGATCGGTGCAACCGATCGACCTCAAATTTTTACAGAGCATTCTTCAGGGCACATACCACCAGCAACAAAATCCACTTCGGGGAGATTTCGATTTTTTAGCATTTTTGGGTGATGTGCCACCTTTTCAAGCTGTTTGATAGTTTACTATTGTTTTCAGTTTCCACAAAAAGGCATCAGGTGCATCTTTCCTTCTTCTTATACAGGTATAAAATGCCCAACGACTGTTGCCTCGCCTTATTACGGAAACGTCACCACCGGCACAAATGATGTATTCAGTTCCAGAAAGTATATCTGCAACGCTGGTTATCAATTGCAAGGTAGCTCACACACCATCTGTCTCTCAACCGGCGAATGGTCTGGTCCAACACCTACCTGCAAACGTAAGGGATTTAAGAGACCCAAACCAGCTTCATTCTGAAGAAAGAAATTGACCGTCACCAGCCTTTCCATCAAACCAGCTTCGTTTTGATTTTGATTATTATGGTCCTTTAGTAGCATTGGTCATGACGTTCGGAGACAATATCTTGAAACACCAATAATCACGGGATCTGGCCAAATGGTCGAGTCCGAAAATTGTTGGCTCAACCCAGTGCGACAGTGGGCCAGAAATAACGTCTGGGATTTTGGGAGAACGAAGGTTCCCAGGGGTTGCGGAGGTCCTGGATCTTATCGATCTTTTCAGACTTCGTTAAGCCTGGCGTTTGTTTTGTTTCCATTTAATAACATAATTATTAACTTCGGAAAATAGCTCCATTGCACACCGTACATAATAGGTTCTCAGCTGCATCGAATAGATTTCCTAATGCCAATATTTCGCCCATTGGGCATCATCAGGGCATCCATAGCGAGAATGCTTGATCCGGGTTCTCAATTGTGTGTACTAGGCTCTGCACCTTGGTGCATTGAGCACTCTCACGAGCAACCAAAACTCCATCTGTGTAAGTGTACTTCGAAGTATGTATAGAGAATAATTATTGTGAGTATTGTGTGTTGGTTGAGTAGTGTATTTTGTCGTGCTAGCCGCTTGTCACAGTTAAAGGTACTGGCTGTAAAATTCCACTTGCGCATATCACTAATCTTATGTAATCACATCTCTCACACTTAGATTTTCGTACACTAACTTTTCTTTCCCAACGTTCTCGTACTACGAGATAATACAATCACCCTTGTACGTGTTTTGATATTTTTTTATTTTTGTAACTTCCAATCAGTACATTGTAGCACAGTTGAACACATAATTATATTTGTCGGTTTTTTCCCCTTATTTTTCGATTTAAATTCACTGATGACCATCCAGGAAAAACGATTATGAGTTACTCTCGTATACACTACATAATTTGTCCATTATGTTATAATGTCGGCATCATTAAATTTTGTTATATTCATAGCCCTGTTGAATCTTTATCTTTAAAAACTTTTTTCGTCTTCCATGCTTTGCAGGTGTTTTTTGTAGCAGTCAAGTTGCTCCTATATATGGCTCGGTTGACACTGCGTCTTTGGAGATTAATGGTGCAACAATTTTTACCTGTTATTCAGGATACTATGTAGTCGGCAGCAGTGCGTCTGTTTGTCTTCCAAATGGAACTTGGTCAAATTCACCACCAATTTGCCAACGTAAGTCTGTGGCTAACTAATTCTGTATGCCATGCACTGCATACCCAGCGTACATGTACATCAGAGTTGACACAGAAAGGAAAGTTTCAGGCATATTTCACATTCTCCCAAAGCAACAAGACAACCATCAGACAGCTGATACACGTCGGATATAAGTAAAGGCAATCGGGTTGATAGTTAACTACTGCATTCTTTTTCGAACAATGGCATCAAGGGCATCTATGCTTTCCTATACAGATACGCAAGACACAGAGCACCACGCATCATTCCTTGCATCTAATACCGGTAGTTTCATGCCCATACGCAACCATCAGAAAACTAAAGTAAGATAGCTTTATTGGAGCACTCTACCGAGCCGGAGGACTCTCATTTGTTGTCCTATACAGGTATAACATGTTCAACGACTGTTGCCACGCCTACTTATGGAGCCGTCTACACAGGCACTGATGATGTATTCAGTTCCAGAAAGTATAAATGCAACGATGGTTATCAGTTGCAAGGTAGCTCACATACCATCTGTCTCTCAAATGGCTCATGGTCCGGTCCAGCACCTATATGCAAACGTAAGGGGAAGTTGTACAAATCAAAATTCACGTTGTTTAACTGCTGTAGAAGTACTTGAATTGTGATAATAATTATTATGTCAGCTCGTATGCTGTTGTATTCTAGCAATCTGCAACGTCAGCTGCCTTGATTCCAGTGTTCCGCGATCTGCCGTTAAGTTTCTGAAAGACTATTCATATCCTTGGCATTCATCTAAAACGGCCAGCAACACCTGACAGAGGTTGATTCCACGGCGCCGGAACTCCTCGAACTTTGGCACCGAAGCCTGAACAACTCCGAGTCTGAATATACAACTCTAGTACACCATCAAGACAGAAACAAAGCTGTAGATCCGTTAGATAATTTGGTTCACCCTTGAAAGATGCAGGAGATACATCGAGGAAACGTCAGCTAATGTTAGCAACAGCATCTTGCCGATCATTGGAAAACGTGTGGTCCAAAACAAGGTGACCAACGGCGACTGCGTTTGTACAATGCATTCGCAGTCCCAGTTCTTATGTTCAATAGCGGTACTAGGGGACTAGCACAAGCTGAACTCTCGAAGACGGACACGTTTCAACGTTTTCAACCCGGAAATCATCAACATGCGATAACCCAAGCTCCTATCTAGCGCCACGATGTACCAGCGATGTCACACCAACCCAAGGCCCAGCATTATCCAGCGCCAGCGTTACAGACTCTTTGGTCATTAACTCCTCCTCCCAAGTGACAGTCCCGCGCATCAAACCATGGCATTGCATTGTGTTTCGAAACCGCTCGGCGATGTTATTCGCCTGCATTTTGAGGGCGCGCCACACAGCCATTGTGGTCACAATCAAGGTAGATTTGACCAAAAGGAGAGAATGACTTTCACGTACGAGGACCCTACACGGATACTCAACGCAGTAGCGGATAAGCGTGCCTGCCAAACCTCTCAGCAAACCTAAAGAATTTGAATTGGGACAATTATCCGCCTCCGAAACAATATATCTCAAACAATACTCAGTAAGACTATGCCTGCAGCTGCAGAAAAAGTGCTCAACATCCATTTTCTTGGAGGAGCAATGACACATGTCAACAAACAATGGATCACTCGGATCACTTAGCAAAACTACGAGTGATCCATTGTTTGTTGACATGTATCTCAAACAATATGTACGAGTCATCTCCGGCTGTTGTTGGCTGCTTCGCATTCTTGTTCAATTGGATTGTACCTGATCTTTTTTTCTTTCTCGTCGCAATGTTCCGCACTGTTCACATTCTTCATATTTAATAGGCGCCTTCTCTGCCACTCTCTCTCTCTCCCTGCCCATGGAAAAACTTTGTTTCTGGTAGCATTAGGCGTGTCGCTGTTACTCTTCTTTGCCTTTTCAGGTGTTGTATGCAGCCATCAAAATCCTCCCCCTAATGGTGCTATTGCTAGTGTATCCTTGGAGATAAATGGCGCGACAATTTTCACCTGCAGTTCCGGGTACAAACTTCTCGGTAGCAGTGCATCTGTTTGCCTTCCAAATGGAACGTGGTCAAATACGCCTCCAACATGCGTGTGTAAGGCTAGGACTTAATAATTTGTTACAACAATCTACGTATCAGGAATGAAGTAAAGGGCGTTCAGGTGATGTGTAGCACAAAGCCTCCTCCCCCCCCCCCCCACACACACAGGCACACACACACACGTACACCCCCTCCCCCCACCACCAACCCCCCCCCTCCCCCCACCCCCCCCCCCCCCTCCCTCCAAACCCACCCCCACCCCCACACACACAGAGAACATACGCCTATTACTAGACGGCAGGCAAACAGAACAGGGAAATGGTTTGATAATTCTGGAATGAATAAAACTATATGTGCACTCATGTCACAGCAACGGATAAAGTATTCCAGAATTTTTCTTGCCACCATTATCAATGGAATTCGTGACTACAGAGAATGATGAAACTATAATAGGATTTATACACTTGGAGTGAAAAGTCACGAGGGTGCAAGAAGAGTAAGAAAAGATAGCACAAACTTCGGAAAAGATTGCACCGGCAATAAAAACTATTTAAAACTAGTGTGACAATGTACATAAATGTGCAAGTGTGTGTGAGTGCGAATTTACTGGAAGAGTGTAAGTGCGGTGACATTTTCTTTTTGTTTACAAATATTTGAATCATGAATGCGAATGTAGAACTTTCAACTGCTCGAAACTATTTGCAGAACGAATACCACTGAACCAAGAATCATCAAAACCTTTTTGATAAGTAAAACGAATTTATATTCAGAACAATTGAAACTCAGAGTTGTGACAAAGCTTCCAGTCTCTCTCTCTTGTGTACAAGGCTCTGCCTTACATGTGTATTGAGCACCTTTCGGACAATGAAGCACACCACTTGACTATTGAGATCAATTGTGTACACTGTAGAGTTCGATCTTTCTTCATAGTATAATTAGTATTATAGTATAATTATTAGTGTCCAACTACACCACGGGGGTGAATACTTCGCGTGAGTCCGGATGTCCATTAACGATTAATCATTGCTAAGACAAGTTAAAATCTAAATGCCTCGTGTTCTGTATACTGTATGTACCTCTGGTTGCTGTATTTCAAGCAACATCAACGCAATGTCCTGCCAATCCACCTCCTCCATTTAATGGTATCGTATCTCCTGGCGGGCGAAATGCTTTCACGACAAGAACATACTCGTGCAATACCGGATATCAACTTTCTGGCGCAACAACAACTATTTGTCAAACAACAGGAGCATGGTCTGGAACACCACCAACATGCAGACGTCAGTAAACTATTCTATACTTTTTTCTGTGCATACTTCTTTCACCATGCTATCCGAACGACTGAAGAGTATTAATAATTGACATGTAACATTAGACATTCTTTGTTGCCCGGAGACAAAGCTCGTGGACATCTTCGTTGCGCTCCACCTCCACTCATTGGAGCGCTCGGCAAATGGGCCTTCCAAGTCGGGACGTTGTTGGTTTGCCTTTTGTAGATGTGTTGAAGCTAGATAGCAGATCACTGAGTGCCTTAGTACCCCTTTCATGCTGTGTCTATTATAACACTTTTACAGTGTGTTGTCGTTGAAGTTGTTCTACCTCCTGTTTTTGTCTTCAGGTGTGGTATGTAGCAGTCAACATGCTCCTTCTAATGGGGCTATTGTTAGTATGTCCTTGGAGATTTATGGCGCGACAATTTTCACCTGCAACTCGGGATACACTTTAGTCGGTAGTAGCGCATCTGTTTGCCTTCGTAATGGAGCTTGGTCGACTTCACCGCCAATTTGCCAGCGTAAGTGTCTGACCAGATTCCCTGCCTTCTGTGTTCTTGCTTTTCAGAGAGCTCTAGTATGAAAACTATGTGATGTGTAAGATGCCTCAGACCTTACACCTAAAACAAAATATTATAATATTTTTTCCGCAAGTGTTGTAAAAAAGCACGTCAAATAACAGCAATACTGATTTTTGCCCGTGATTGTATCATGTGCTAACGTTGAATTCTTCCATCCAATATTCCGAGTAATTTTGGATCTTTTGATCGCCGGGAACCGGCGTTCTTTGAGTAGCAATACTACATAAATCTGATAGTCTCCCAACGCAAATTCAAGTGTACATCAGAAACAGATTGGTCTATAGTGACTTTGGTCTGCTGATACGAACAATGGCACACATTGAGCATCTCTTTCTCTGCAGGTATACAATGCCCAATGACTGTTCCTGCACCAACTGATGGAAATGTTACGTCAGGAACAAATGACGTATTCATCTCAAGACAATACACCTGTAATGATGGATATAAACTGCAAGGAAGCTCCCATACTATTTGTCTTTCAACTGGTGCGTGGTCCGGTCCAACTCCTACCTGCAAACGTAAGGGCTTGAAATCGAGGCAGTTTGACTGAAAACCCGTGTTCTCCATGTCGTGTCTGAGCTTACATGACCATGAATTTATAACACGCATAGTGCTCAGCTTGCTGTATTTGGACATAGATGTCTGACATGGTGGGTGGCTGCGTGGAATCTACAGGAATTCGAGCAGTGTTCCCAACTTGTGATACGATAGATAAGGCGTTAGAGGGTGAGGAGCAGGTAGCCATTGCTTGTAGAATCAAACACGTGGTTACACGGCATAGCTGGTTCCACAAGATCCAGGTCCATACGAGGAACATTAGCTTTGTTCATTGCCATCGAAGTAAAACATTTCAACCGTCCCTTTGTTTGAAAATATTCGGAAGGGGTTTCTCTGATTGTCTTGTCAGTGTGATCTTCAACACACATCTACATCCGCCAATATTCTTCGCAACTGAGACTTTCAGCTCGTCCTTGTCTTGGTTGCGCTGACCTTCCCCTCCTTTGTTATTCCCAACTTAGAACCTTCCAGCCTGGAAGGCTGTTAGACTGCGCATCCAAGATATGCTAGACCTGATTGCCAGTGATGCGGAGACCGTCAGTACATGTACTGTTGTTCCTTATCGTGCAATGCTATCTGGTAAGCTGGATGTAAAGTAACTGGTGGTGTTAGTGGACTATTTGGGGTAAATCTCCCAACCATGAAGAAATGACGTTTTGCAAGTTTCAGCCGACGCCCATTTTGGTGTCTCTTCGCCGATGTCTGCAGTTGAACAATGTAGTGTGGAGGCAAGGAACAAAAACATCCAATAACCTGGCCTGCCAGTTCTACTCTTCATGGTGTAAATATTGTTTTCAATGTAATCGTGATATTTTTTCTTCAGGAATAACATGTTCAGAATCATTAGTCAATCCCACTAATGGACATGTGACGGCACCAGCTAACACAGTATTTAGTGTGTCAACATACTCTTGCATGCCAGGTTATGAGTTGGTCGGGCACGCAAATACCATTTGCCTGACATCTGGTCAGTGGTCTGGACAAGTACCAACATGTAGCAGTAAGTTTCGTCATGTTGTCCAAGTTTATTTGGAAATACATTGGTCACCATCGAAACTAAATAGTTGAGTGAAAGCGTGGGTAGTTCTATCACTGAATTTCTCGAGATCATAGGGAGAGTAACCGAGACGCTACGAGTATTAACTCGTATCCGTACCATCTTTGCCAACATCCGCTTTGAACCCGCTGGTTTCATTCCTTCCAGAGTTTCTGTAACATGACACGAATTTTATGTCTGATTTCTACAGTACGCATTATTTTGTGATAACCCTTCCTCTTCTCAATCTATGATGTTATAATTTGGCAGATATACTCTCAGTAAGCCATGAACGGAGACCCCCTCGACTTAGGCCTCGGCCTTTGGGGAATCCATAAAATAAATAAATAAACATAAATAAACTCTCCCCTCGACAATACATAACCCTCCGAGTGCTTTACTAACCAAGATCTGAGGGGAAACCCTCGTCGTTGCCCAGCTTCATATTTTCCATTATATTGCCGGGATGTAGGGAGTCGTAATCGACTCGTTGCTGCATTCGGAACACGGTGTGCGAGTTATAATGAGGATATGGAGTTCGATGTCAAAATGATGATGTGTATTCCTGAACGTGAATAGTTTGTAGAGTACATCGCCATAGCTTAGCTGTTTGTGATACATGAATAATAAAATGGGGAATGATAATACAGAGCACGCAGAAGGAGAGCAAATTATTACGCAACGACATCGAAATCTAAAAGGAATGGGAGAAACGACGTCTAGGATCATTACCGTCGCGGGGAATGTCCTCATTTTCTAATGTAACAAAAATCATATAGAATGTTATTTGTAAAAAAAGGGTAGAAACACATTAGAACGAGTTATGCAGTAACTATCCATGACTGTAACAAGATGATTAAGAGTTAGAAAGGGCGATATTAGGGCACAAAACTGACCGGCTACTGAGAAATTTAGTGACCCGAGACCTAGCTCGAACACATCTCCAGTGAGCAAACCAACAGACTCCCATTTTAGAAGTTTCATGGTTACGTAGAACCGAAGAGTCCCTTGTGTTTCTTCTTTTTGACAATCTTCACTGTCTCAGTATCCGATAATGTTAATTTTTCCTTACTACAGCTCCATTCATCGTTCATTTCACTTAGCGTCAAAAATGTGAACTGCGATACCTCTCAATCCCAACCAGAGATTGAGTGGAACAATGGGAAAAATATATTTAATTTTTCAGTGTACATTCATTGCACAGCCCCGTGACAGTTGGAGCAAGCACCACAGTGCGCTAACTGCGACGGTGGATGTCATTGAAGTGTTATAGGCACGCTGGCAGCAATAGAAAGTCGTAGGGTATGAAAAATATTGAGAAATACTTTGCAGGCACAATGGTTCACAAGGTCTTTATTTACTTCCTTCGATCATGATGGTTCCTTGCATACATTTTCCCAAACAGAAATAGCATGTTCGTCAACCCCAACTGCTCCTACAAATGGGAGTCTGTCACCTGGAGGAAATGATTTTCTGACAGTTCGCACGTATTCCTGCAATCCTGGATTTCAGCTGATTGGCGATAGCACTACCGTGTGCCAGGCAAATAGACAATGGTCCGATGCTACAACAACCTGCAATGGTATGTCGGAGGTACCTGCAACCACCACTTGTCATTAACGGCCATTTAGTTTTAGTGATTAGGAATGCTGATTACCTAACTTGTCGTACACGTTTCTTCACATTAATATATTTCAAGATCTGGAATATACTGCCTAGCATGTCAGAGTTACGTATTCCATAATGACTGTGTTTGAATTGATCAGGTCCCACAGTGGAATGAAAAAGGTGAGCTACATTCACAACTTACCGCCGTTATTTTTCCAATGTGCACTGCAGCTCTTACCTGCAAATCTCTTCCTAGCATTACAAATGGCAAAATTTGGCCAAGCCAGTCACCGCTTGTACCAGGCAGTGTTGCCTTTGTGGACTGTGATAAAGGCTTCGCACTGCAAGGGTTGAACACAATAACTTGTCTCCCTTCACGGAATTGGACAATTGCCCCGACATGTGCACGTAAGATTTTATACTGGTTTATTATTATTATTATTATTATTATTTGTGCTCCCGCGTCAATGGGCTCGCCCAAATTCGCTTGCACCGAACCATGCGAAAAAAGGCCGCCAGCAGGCAGGCAGGCAAAGAAAAAATAGAAAATGGTGTCACATAAACTAATACAAACAAGAATATCATTATTACGAATTAGTGGTTGCGACTTCGGCGATGACTTGTAAGAAAGGGTTTGCTCCCCACACCGGTGCTCGCGCTATTCCGCCGACTTTACTTGACACTTGACTGACTCACGACTGCCATCCAGAGCACACGAGAAGTCCATCGAACCTTCGACTCGGCAAACCTGCAAGAAAGCACCACTCCCTGCTCAATACACAGTGTTTCGGGGAATTCACCCCTCATTAGTTGAGCTTGAGTAGGCTGAGGAAGATTGTGCCTGAACAGCACCACTTATATAGTGCTCTCCAGGCACAAACATCACCAGGGATACAAACTTACAGAAACGCTCCGTTTCCAGCGCGACAAACACCTCGTGAACACCAGATAGCAGCGTGAGTCAGTGTCGCTCCTGGACGGTGAGACAGACGTCGAGGACCCTTGGTCATTCGCAACGCTGTCACCTCCAAACCAACTAGTCGCAAGCCCGCGCTGGGCACAACAGTACGAATTAGTGGTTGCGACTTCGGCGATGACTTGTAAGAAAGGGTTTGCTCCCCACACCGGTGCTCGCGCTATTCCGCCGACTTTACTTGACACTTGACTGACTCACGACTGCCATCCAGAGCACACGAGAAGTCCATCGAACCTTCGACTCGGCAAACCTGCAAGAAAGCACCACTCCCTGCTCAATACACAGTGTTTCGGGGAATTCACCCCTCATCAGTTGAGCTTGAGTAGGCTGAGGAAGATTGTGCCTGAACAGCACCACTTATATAGTGCTCTCCAGGCACAAACATCACCAGTGATACAAACTTACAGAAACGCTCCGTTTCCAGCGCGACAAACACCTCGTGAACACCAGATAGCAGCGTGAGTCAGTGTCGCTCCTGGACGGTGAGACAGACGTCGAGGACCCTTGGTCATTCGCAACGCTGTCACCTCCAAACCAACTAGTCGCAAGCCCGCGCTGGGCACAACAGTACGAATTAGTGGTTGCGACTTCGGCGATGACTTGTAAGAAAGGGTTTGCTCCCCACACCGGTGCTCGCGCTATTCCGCCGACTTTACTTGACACTTGACTGACTCACGACTGCCATCCAGAGCACACGAGAAGTCCATCGAACCTTCGACTCGGCAAACCTGCAAGAAAGCACCACTCCCTGCTCAATACACAGTGTTTCGGCTTGCGACTAGTTGGTTTGGAGGTGACAGCGTTGCGAATGACCAAGGGTCCTCGACGTCTGTCTCACCGTCCAGGAGCGACACTGACTCACGCTGCTATCTGGTGTTCACGAGGTGTTTGTCGCGCTGGAAACGGAGCGTTTCTGTAAGTTTGTATCCCTGGTGATGTTTGTGCCTGGAGAGCACTATATAAGTGGTGCTGTTCAGGCACAATCTTCCTCAGCCTACTCAAGCTCAACTGATGAGGGGTGAATTCCCCGAAACACTGTGTATTGAGCAGGGAGTGGTGCTTTCTTGCAGGTTTGCCGAGTTGAAGGTTCGATGGACTTCTCGTGTGCTCTGGATGGCAGTCGTGAGTCAGTCAAGTGTCAAGTAAAGTCGGCGGAATAGCGCGAGCACCGGTGTGGGGAGCAAACCCTTTCTTACAATATCATTATTGATGACATTAATATACTGAATGAATGGCAAAGGCCATGTGAATACGGATAACACGGATAATCAGAGTACCAACAACAAAGAATGTAGCTCAAACCATTGCAGTGCCAACCTCCTTCACCTGTACTCTGCCTTGTACGCATCTGTAACTGTATACTGGTTTAGGAACTTTTAACACATGGGCCTCAACCAGCGAAAACAGCCCTTAGGGTCAACATTTTCAAAATTCCTTTTTGGTTAGAAATTTGTTGAACCATATCTTCTGAAGGACCTCAGCCAAGAAAAAGTTCAATATTCCGATTCAAAACGGGTGTATACACCAATATACAAGGTGTACCCCAAATTGGTGCAATGTATGTATACGATGTATGTGTACAATGAATATTCAGCATTCGAAGGTGGGTGGGCAGCTTGAATACTTTTTTGAAATAGTGCAGTAAGCAGCTATAATGACAAAGAATAGCTGATGAGTGCGGAGAAATGATCTACATATTCGCAGCTGCATCCTGCGTGGAGTCGTTCCGTAATCTCGTCTTCCATTTCTTGCTCCGCAGCTGAAGACACGACGTCGCTGCCGTCACTAGCCCCAAACTCAGAATTTATCTCAGGTGACGACTCCTCATCTTCCGACTCTGACGAGTCATCGGCCACCTTGAGCCGCATCGCAGCAGGAGATGACGGCTGCGATTCCGCCTCGCTGTCGACATGGATGTCGGAACCAAAGAACGTCTCATCCTTATTCTGAACTTCAGCGGCTACTTCAGCATCCACTCCCGGATCCCCACCAGGCTCGAGCTAGCTGTAGACAATGACTGCCGTGTAACCTCTGCGAACAGCTCTGGCGTCCGCAGCCATCGCAGCAAGATCAAGGAACACTGGAGTCGCCACTCGACACCACTTCAACTAACTTCAAAATAAATAATTACTTCGAGCAAGGAGTTCAAGAAGTCGTCGCGCTGTTTGCAGCGCGATCAAAAAATCGTTCAACGTCACAAATTGACCTTTTTCTCGAAAAAATTACGAAATCTCTAAGGGTCGTTTTCGCTGATTGCGGCTCACATACTATGGCCAAAGGTAAACAAACCAACCGCTGTTGTGGTTCCTCTGATTGTTATCTCTTACCCATCCCCTGCCACGCTCATATTCTTCGTCCATCTCCATTTCCTAGCTATGTCCCTATGGAAGACGTTATAATTTCAGTGGAAATTGTTAAGGTGTACCCCCGGGGAGTGGATAAAGGTACTTCGTGTTTAAGGCCTTTCTTATCAAAAGTTGACTTCTGGAGTCTTGAGCCACACCAAAAATAATTCGGTTGAAACGAAATGAGCATAATTATAGGGATCAGCCAGTAATAGTCACCGAATTTACATAGGGGATACGCATTGAGAAAGTGCACTAGGCAATCGCCAGAGTCTTGAGCCGTCAATATTCAATGTGCTCATTATAGTATTCGTTACCCTCAAACCTATCATCCACTCCCCAAATTCTTTTTCAGGAATAAGGTGCTTGTCCCCGCTCACTCCTCCAACAAATGGCAATGTCTCCAGTGGTCATGCTGTGTTCTTCAGCACGCGAGAGTACTCGTGCAGTCCTGGCTATGAAATTTACGGTGCAAAGTCTACTGTATGTCAATCCGACGGCAACTGGTCAGTCTCGTCTCCCACATGCAAAGGTATGTTGCTCCACTATGCCTTCACCGGCAAGTGCATATTTGTTTAGACACCCGAGAAATTGAAATCTCTTTTTAATCCACTAAAATCCCCTTGCTGAGCATATCATTACAGAAAAGATACGATGAATCAAAGAGTCGCAATTGAAGAAATAATAGTACAATTCCAGTATACGCGACGACAGTTGCTGTATTTGACATTTTTGATCATTCCCTGTATTAACCCATGATGAGAAGGGAACGACAACGTTCCGTTACTAAATAGGCTTACTTGATTGTGTGGATTGCGTCGGTGCTGACACCTTTTCTTCGAATTTGGATAGGCCTCCAATTTTTTTCCTTACAGTTATTGGTGTATGTTGTTTGATTTTACTTTAAGTGATGTAATTCGCAGGGACAAAGCAAGAACGTCTTCAATTAATCACGCTTAATCAAAGTCCACAGGGATCCTTTTCATTCTTCAAATACATAAGAAGATACAATAAACATGATTGTGATTTTCCAGTTCGCGTTATTATGTCCATTCATATGCACTCATGTGCTCTTCCAAGTTCATCGTATGACCAAGACTGCAACGCCGTCACATTCATTTTGCATTTACTGTACCTTACCAGAGATCAAATGCGACAACCTTCCGTCTACTCCAACCAACGGTTTCCTGGCTGGACAACAGAACTCTCTGGGCTCTACACGTATGTTGGGCTGTGATGAGGGATATATACTTCATGGATCTGATCGAGTGATTGTGTGTCAAGCAGACAAAACCTGGTCAACGACTAGTGCGACTTGCGTTCGTAAGTGAAATATTGATTGATTGACCGAATCATGATGACTACTTCTAGACGTATCCCGTAGAATTTTCACAGGTTCACATTTCTGAACTTTACATTTGGACAGCATTTGCATCAACTGCACAGTACAAATAGAACAATTCAATCCTTTGCACATTTCGTCCTCAGACATTGCAAGTTTGCAATTTCCTCAACCTAATGAATACTACTGTCTCGTAAATTTCCTCCACTATTCCAAGCACTACAACCAAGCAATTATGGTATGTAGCTGACGTGATCACACTGTGAGAGTATAAGTATAGCTGACCTTTTATAACAAGGTCGGTTTCTGACACCACTAGAGCATATGATTTTCATGCCATCATTTCTTGACGTTGATTTGTTCCGACTTAAACGTGCACAGTAAAATTCTTCTATGAATGTTGTTGTCGCTTCACAGTTCAGCCATGCCCTAAGCCACCCAATATCACTAATGCCGTTGTCAGGGCTAACCTGACGCGGCCCTACGTATACGGTGACAGCGTGTTCGTACATTGCAACACTGGACATAGTGGCAGTGGCCACATCAGCTGTACATCTACCGGAAAATGGAGTCAGATTATGTGCTCTGGTAAGGGGTTGTTTTGCTGTGTTTATACTCTCCCAATACCTGATTTATTTAGGGCGCGTTTGAATTGTCACTCTTTGACTTTTCGAGGAGCTTCGTTTTTCTGAAGAGGTGGCCTTATTGGCCTCTTCAGAAAAACGAAGCTCCTCGAAACTCCTCGAAACTCTTCGAAACTCATCCGATGGGAAGGTGGATTAGTTTCGAAGAGTTTGGAATAGCTACGTCAAGTAGTATGTGGAGATGGTCTATCTGATCGGACGTCATCATCGCCATAACAATTCCACTGAAAAACTCTAAAATGATAGAAACCGTTCTAATGGGACACTTCAACTAATCTCCTTATAAAATTTGTTGGAACAGTTGATGAAGACAATTTGAACGCGCCCTAAGTCATTAGGTAATACACTCACTTTGGTTGGTACCGTTTGGCAGGTGTTTCCCTAGAGAGCAGTAGGGATTACTATTACTCTCCTTTTTGGTTTCTGGCTGCCCTTGTGTTGATGGGAGGTTTGTTGGAGTTTTGCTTGGATCCTTTTGCAATTTGGACAAGCACACAACCTCATTGAGTCTTAGCTAGGGACTGAGTTCATTTTTTGCCTCCTGGTTGCAATGCTTGAGTGCATTCTCTTTTTTTGCGTCATCATTTTATACGGTTAATAAAAACACGTTTCCAAGTATGGACTACTGATCTCTTTGGTTCGCTCGAACCGTTATAGTTATGCGCTAAACGTCACGGTTACGGTGTTGAATTCGTGCGGCCAAAGTGCGCAGGAAAATGGTGGCCTCCGTGCTACATATGCCAGCTAAAGTGCACGCATCGTGTTTACTGTTTCTTGATGGGAGTTCAGGTCTTTGAAATGTGCCAGAAGTAGACACAGGTGTCGCAAAGACTGATGCCTCTTACACATACTTCGAAGTACTAAATTTTACTAAAACAATTACTAAATTTTGTGTGCATTATTCGGGCATTGCTTTTTGCAGCAAGAGATTGCAGCACGGTGGCAGGCCCCACCAATGGCATGGTGTTTCTGACTGGCTACACTGTTGGCGCAACGGCTTCATTCATATGTTCCCATGGTTACACACTGATAGGCTTTTCCTCTGCCACTTGTAATCATGGAGGAGTCTGGTCCTCCCCCACACCCAATTGTGATCGTAAGTATGCAGCCGTATGTGACTCGGATTGGTCGTGCTGGACATAATAATTATTGCGACAGGTTCACACTTTTCACATATTTTCTCACAATTTATCAGCTACGCTATAGGACCCGCCTTGTACCCGATCGGCTACGTGATACTCTAGCGATAAAAGCTGACAACGTTGTTCTTCCATTGGATAGCCGTGTCTCATGATAAATTCTGGAAAGTATATGTACATAATACTACGTACAATTGTGAAATGTAAAAATGATTTAATACAAACCATCACAGTACTTCCGGTTACTGCGGGCGGAGAAAACATGCTCCTTTGACTTTGGCATTCGGTTCTGTGGCTCCCTAGAGGCTATGAAATGACGTATTCTGCAGTTTCGGTGGGGTTCATAACTTTTGTAGCAAGCTTAATCTCTACTGCTGCATCTGGTTGGTCAAGGAAAATGTAGCCATAGCAGGGCCACTATTGTTCGCCTGAGAGTACAGTCAATCGCCGTATGCGATAATGTCACAACGTTAACGTTCTTCGTTCTTGTTTGTCGCAGGAGTGATGTGCCCCAACGTCAATGCGCCTGCAAATGGAGCAGTCTCCACTGGTGATACCGAGGTGTTTACCGTGCGAAGATTCACATGTGACACCGGGTTCAATCTTGTAGGTAATCCAGCAACAGTGTGTATGGAAACTGGCACTTGGTCCGATGGTACACCTCATTGTATTGGTAAGATGGCCGTGTTGGTGTGGGTGAAATAATTATAATAGATTCATTTTGTGTCTGGATGCTAGGTCTGGTATTGGTGCGAGAAGTGAATTCCCAGTACACGTACACTGACCTATTAGGTAGGCCTTTTTCTTTTTTCTTTTTTTAACAAAGACCACTTAAATGCCAAACATGAGATGCAGCTAGGGGAAGCACGCACAACCTGAATTGTGGCCGCGGTGGCTCCGCCGACCTAAGGTCTCGACTTCATAGCCTTGTTTGGTTTAAAACATGGTCGGTAGTTGACAGCATGTTACAAAGGTGGAAGACGCACAGGTTTCAACACAGTGCGTCCTCCACCTTGTAACATGGTGCCAATCAACCAACATGTACTCACCTGACTCCCGACTGGCGAAAACTAAATGTGCGGATGGAGTGGATGCTTGTGGACCGTGTTGCTGGTGGTGCACCCATTGAACAATGTTTTTCTCCTACTCCAGAGTGTTCGCTTCTTGAATGTTTCCAGACTTCTTTGTCTTTGCCATACTGCCCTTGCCTCACAGAGAAAACAACAACCTGCCCGTATTTGCTGGCACCGGCCAATGGATTCATAGACAATGGAAGCCTAGATGTTGGGTCCTCCCGCGAATATTCTTGTTCTGACGGATACATGACAACTGATTCAATGCACACAGCCTGCTTGAAAAACGGACGTTGGTCTCAGTCCGTTCCATGCTGCTTCACTAAACATAGTACTGGTGAGCCACGATGACTTGTAGTCCATCTGTAATGCTTGGTCTGGATGAGTCGAAAAGGCGACATGGAAAATGCATGAAAACCTTTTACTCTAAAGCATATTGGTTGTACGTTGGAAGGGAATTGTACGTTGGAAGGGAATTGTACGGCGATAAAAACGGCAGGCCAGCTCACTTTGTTCGGTGCAACGTACGAATGACTACATGCAGCAATCTCTACCTGTTCGAATATCCAGCAAACCACATATAAATGGCGTACCAACGTGCATCCAGAGTTGATGCATATCATTTTGAGGTTGTCCCTGATTGCATTGACGAGTGGCTGTTACAAGGAGATGTACGATATTCATGTATTTACAGAATGCATATGCCGGGAACCAGTCGAAAATTGAACTGACACCATGTCCTGTTCCACCTAACTATGTTGTGCTAGTCGCGCGTCATTAGCCGACGTTGGTGGGTGAGCAGTTCTACAGCATGCCTGGGAACACCAAGGTATCTGTGAAAGTCGATCTCCCCGATTTCGCTCAATCATTTCAGGCAGGTTTCGTTTGGAGTGTTGATGAACTGTGTAAAGCCCTTGAAAAAAAGGATTCTGAATTAAACCTTGAAACTGGTATGCCCGACAAAAATCTAGCCAAAGTATCACATTATTTACAAGTCTAAAAAGAGTCATGCCACAGCGTACACGAACAAACTACGAACAAAACTCCATTAAGCTACCATTGTCTCACCTTAGACGACTTTCTCCGATCAAAAAAATTATTTTCCAGAAATCCCCAGAAGGAAGATGGGGAATATGTATTCAGTGGTAGAAGCGATGTAAGGTCAGTAGCTTAGACCGACCACCAAAAGTGGTCAAAGACCAAACTTCCTATTCGTTGCATCCAAACTTGCCTCGTGCCGGGTCACGAGGTCCTAATTGACTGTGGTTCTAAGCACGGCTGGACAAAATCCTTCCGCTCCCAAGCAGGACTTGAACCTGGCACCCTGTGTTCGCAGGCAAGCATAGTGTGATGACCAAAGGCCAAGATTAACAAAACAGAACTGATTGTATTGTCGCCAAGCAAATGGAGAAATTCGTCAGAAGAGTCACGCGATTGCTACTAGCTAGTCTCCGATTTGCTGTAATTTAAATCAAAAGTTGATTAATCAACTTTGGATTTTGTATGTAATATCAAGCTCTGATTTGACGCTCTTTGTTTGTGATACAGGTGAACAAGCAGAGGCATCTTCATCGTCCTCAAATATCATTGCAGGTGTCATTGGCTTCTGTATCGGTTTGCTAACACCCAGTGCCTTGATTGTAAGTTACATTGCGCGTTCCCGACGCAGGAGTCGGCGGATCACCGTCACTGATAACACCGTCCAGCAATCTGCTCTATTTACTAACACGTTGACCAGGAGTGATGTGTACCAGATGGACGTGACCACGATCGAACCAAACCTAGAGCCACAGTATGCGTCTTTGGGGCAAATTTGAGCCACCATCATTAATGCTTCTCTCACTTCCACTGATTTAAACGACGTACACCTATTCTTTGTTTTCTTTGATTTTATATTTTTGGCAGCGGTTATGGTAACTCCTACATGCAAAACTAAGCCCGGGGAAAAGTAGTGAAGGCAAGGATTTAACAGATCTCAAATTTCTCACAAGATCTTTTAATGATCAATTAAATTTCACACGATCCCGAACATTATGTACTTTTCAGAAATAAAGATAAAACCAGACTTTTTGAATAATTTTGGGCAAAGAAACACATCCATTTTGTGCTCAATTTGTACTCAATCTACAGCCGTTATATTTCGTAAGTGCCGCATTTGTTGGTCACTCGTAGCTCACAAGTTATTGCGTTCAATTCTGAACAGTACGATGAGCAGGGATATGAGTTAGGGGGCTTACGCCCATCGTAGTCTTCTTCTTCCACGCGGTGTGGGCCTGATGAGTTGGCTATGATTGAACGAAAGATCGTATTCTTGTTTACGCACGGAACGCTTTGGCAATAGTTTCAACAAAATCAATTTTTCTTCGAACATTTTCTATTGAATTTAAAGATAAGAATCGCCTTTCACCATGCACCCAGTTCTTGTTTTATCGTGATATTTGCCTCTGTATCCACGTTGCTACATACGATTGTCATGGCCATCTATCCGTTTCTAAACCATTCTTTAATCTAACTCAAAGCTGATTGCTTCCAAACTACATAGATTAGGGTTTGGGATAGGAGAGGGGGGGGGGACAAAGCAGATGCCTAGCTTGTACGTTGACAAGCTAGGCATCTGCTTTGTCCCACCACTAGGTCAGCTTCTCCGCAAAATCTTTTCGACTAGCGCTGATTGTATCACGTCAGTAGCTGTGCTTTGCTCAGATTGAGGAGTTTAGCATGAGCTACACTGGGGCGGATAAGCGGCGCTAGACAAATTGCAATGAAAAACACCCATGCGTCATTACCATAGACGTGAAGCAAGCTAGGACCAAGACTGCGTAATTGTTGGACGCCAGACTGGATTGGGCACCAGCAGGAGTTCTAGGCCCGGACCTTTGAGCCAATAATATTGCAAAACGTGCACTTCGCGGTACCCAGAAAGGGTGCACCCCTATCGATAGAGTTCGTTTACATACTAAATGCCTAGTTCGCGAATTTATTTTGCGAGTTCACTCGTACGTAGTGGATCAGCCCACTTCAAAAGCGCGAGTTAACTCTGCACGCAAAGGGTTAATGTAACTTTGGGTGCTTGGTTGAGTTCATTATTTACATGCTTTTGGCCCATTAGTCGCTACATGACGAGGGCTACTCTTACGGCTATAAGGGAGTCGTGCCGCCGATTCTCGTGCAGAAGTGGAAGGTCCTTGACTAGCATGTACAAAGTTGCTGATAACATTAGTTTGTTCCGTTTCACCATGACCATTGGCTATGCCTGCTGACATTTTTGATGGATCCGAATTGATCAGTGTTTCAAGGCGATAAACTATAGTGAGTGTTCCGATGGAGAAAAGGAACTGTTAGGGTCATCTTTTGCTTCACTTGCACTATATGAAACATACATAATATACAAGCGCTAGTGAAGAAAACTGAAACTGAAGTGTCCTGCCTATAATATTTCCCATTCTGTCACTGCGCCGACTGGCTCATACACAATAGTGCTCATTCTCACCAACTAGATGAAACAAGGGCAGAAAGCTGCTTTATTGTGATGCACAGTTTGGTGTTGATTGTGATCATATTTAGACTTGATGCCGGTGAGAAACATCCGCTCCTTACAATCGTAGGTATACAGCTGTGCCAAGAATGATAGCACCTGGGGTGCCAGAAGCATTTGCCTTATAGAGTTCTAAATATTTTCAAAGGTCATGGCAGTTTTACTGTTGGCTGTCTGGTCATACAATGGAACTAGGCTCGTGCATGATATAGCAACATTATAAGTGAAACAGTTCCAGCCTACAGTGAACCGGTCTGGCGATTGGTCAACAGCATGGGGCGTTCTGTGACGGAAACTTGCAAGTAGGTATGCTCTTCATCATCTTACTCAGAAGAGAACCAGGTTACTGTGCTTTGCTTTTCCTCACCACTACTAGAGAGTAGGCTATATATATACTTGTATTATGGTTACCCTAAAACAATCGTGATTCCTCTCGCTTTCACAAATGCACGGTTTACGTTCCCCTCTTTGTGCTGCTGTTCACCCATTGGCTGCAGACAAAACCCAGAGTGCCTGGCCCGAAACAAGTTTCATTAGTTTTTAGTACTAAATGGGCACTGCTTTTGCGCCACCTCCCCCCCCCCCCTCCCCTGAACGAGATTATCGGCAAGTTGCAGCATACTATAGCAGTGGTCAGATGAAGGCCGGCTCCACAGTGCAATGTCGAAATCCTTGAGAACTCAAAGCCCATACTAGTACTCCAGCACCGGCCGTGTCACTGCCATTCGAACCGTGACTGTGTTCCAGATGACAGTATGAATGAGTAGCAGTATTTGTTGTTTTGCTAGTGCATTCCCACGGGGTACCCTAGTTTGCTCTGCAATCTCCTTTCTCTGATTGCCACATTGTACTTATCATTTTCTTGTTCTTTCCACCTGGCGATGATTGGGGCGTGAGAATGTCCGTCACAGCTGGAACGGTTCCGGGTTTGTCACAGATATGACCTGGTTGACATGCACTGTGTGCGCTTAACCCTCGGTGAACACTGTTCCAACGATGGATGTGCACAGAGGTCAACCCTGTTGCAAGTACTCTTTTAAAAGCCGTTCGCAAACTTGATCATTCTCAAAAGTCAGATCTCTATTCCATCTCATCTGGAACGTAGGAATTCTTCTGCAGCCGACCCGAGGTGCTCAAGGTAAGCGGTAACGTTGGTTTTCTCATTGATGTACCGGAGAGATGTCTTACAATGTGGAAGGAAAGAGATGGAGTGAAAGATAACTCGGATAGCGAGAGCTAGTAAGACCGAACGTTTACGAAATAACAGAGTAGGATGAAGATGAGTTCCGAACACCAAGAGGAATCCGGGCGAGTTATGTTACCCCTCGACTATTTTCCTTTAGCGCTAAAGTGTAATTTACTGGCTGCTGTAATGAATCATCATTTAGAGTGGCGTGTTTCTAAAAAGGGATCATCATCATGCCGTTACATTGTAGTCATAAACCGCGCCTTTTCTCACTGCAAATGTGCACCAATATCAAAAATTCTTTAAACAAAACGACGAGAAGACAACAATCTTAGAGTCGCAGTAAGAAAAACCAGTTGGATGGACAGGTGACTATTATAATAAACGGTCAATCGATGCATGAAATGTGCAATAACAAAATGGAAAGATAATTCAGTAGTGAAGATAACAATGGATAAAGATCCGAAAACGTTGTCGTTCAACACTCGAAACTTACAGTGACTTATAGTCCATAAACATTGACAATCAGGTTTTGCCTGTATGAAGAATGAAGATAAGGGAAAAAGACTCGGTTAGAGAGTCAATTATTAATTTATAGTAAACGAAAACGACCAATTTACGCTATTATGTCCACTAACACCACAAGTTACTTGGCAATCCAAGCACTTCAGAACTGCCTACGCACGGGTGACCGTCGAGGCAGCTGATGAGAACACAGTCGGTGACAAAGGGTTCTGGCCGGATGCTCTTTCGCACACGGTTAGGCCCTGGCGTTTTGCCGCGGACAGTTTTGACACCAGCAATGCCAACCAGGCAAACAACGTCCTCTCCTCAGGCTCAGCATGATGGCGCGACCACAGCTGAATCCACTGGCTCGGCCCTACTTCCCCCCTTGCCAGGGTAAACTGACCTTGCTTTCCGTAAATTGCCGCTCAATCGTTAACAAATCTGCCGAACTGTCTGTCATTGCTGATTTCAACAAACCTGATGTCATCTGTCTAAATGAAACATGGCTAAATCCAAGCATAGCGCTCACCATCTCCGGTTATACCACATTTCGTCGCGACCGACCACCTCATGATAACAAATCCGGTACGGCAACCAGAGGATATGGTGGAGTTGCGATTCTTGTCCGGCAAAATCGCTTCCGAAGAGTCCAAGTTCGCGACGACCTTGCTCGTCCGACCTGTGAATCCGTATGGGTTGAGCTTCACCCAATCTTAGGCTCCCCGACACCCATCCTCGTCTGCTGTACCTACCGTCCGCCCTCAGTCAAAACCACGGAAATAGACCACTTCTGTGATATGCTAGCTAGTGCTTTGGTAACCGTTCCCATGTCATCGTACCATGTCATAATGGCTTGGGACTTCAACAGTAAGCACAAACGGTGGTGCCCATCGGATTTAACGTGTCCTGCTGGGGCGGCACTTTTTCGCACCCTTACCTGCTTCGGTTTGGATCAGCTGGTGCAGAGTCCAACGCACACAACATCTTCCGGAACACAGTCATGTCTAGACCTTGTCTTCACGAACCAACCCCTGCTGGCGACGGACGTTCACACAGCTTGCGCTCTTGGCTCCTCGGACCATCTCATGGTTTCATGCCAGTTCGCCGTCTCATTGCCCTCGGATCCAGACCTGCCACTTCCTTCTCGCAAACCGTTCCCATATCGCTTCCGTCGAGTTCCCTCTCAGTGCTGGGACTCTATGAACGCTGATTTCTCCTGCCACGACTGGTCGTTTCTGCAACCAGAAGGCTCTCCAACTGTTGACGCCGCAGTAGATCACTTTGCAGCCGTCCTTGAACGAGGGTTCCAACAGCACCTCTCTAACTTTGCTATCGGCTACAACAACCGGAAACATTCCAACCCAACATCCTCGACATCTAGTCCCCCATGGGTGACACGGTCCCTCGTATCTGAAGTGAAGCGCAAGCGTGATCTTTTCAGCATCTACAAGAAATTCCCAACGCCGGTTAACCGGGAGGCTGACCGAGTTCAACGCAACTTCGTCAAGCATCTTTCTCGTACCTCACACCGCTCCTTTCTAAACTCTCTTTCTGCAACACTCTCCTCCCCCGATCGCCCATCACTCCACCAATTCATTCGCAACCAGTGCCGCGGGACCTCCCGCGCGCCAATCCAGTACCTGACGGACTCCCATGGCAACCGCCAGCACGATGTGAAGGCGATTGCAGACACGCTGAACAAGCAGTTTGTTTCATCCGGCATTCCGGAAGATCCGAATTGGGTCATTCCATCGCTGTCCCCAGCCCCTGAACTTAGCGCACCACTCACACGCGTCGTTACCACGACTGCTACCGTCTGTAAGCACCTCAAACTCCTGAAGAATTGTAAGTCCCCTGGCGAAGATGGCATACCCAATGAGGTTCTCAAATGGCTTGCGCCATCTCTGTCCTATCCCTTGTGCCTGCTCTTTAACATGTCATATCGTACAGGAGTATTTCCGTCCGTCTGGAAATCTGCTGTTATCGTCCCGATCTATAAGAAAGGCCAACGCTCTCAGGCTGGCAACTACAGACCAATCTCTCTCCTTCCCGCTGTGTCCAAGGTCTGTGAACGTATTTTCTTTGAGTCTCTGTACTGCCACGTCACCCCAGCGCTTTCACCATCTCAATCCGGTTTCTGCCGTGGAGACTCCACAACTTTCCAACTAACACGTCTAGTACAAGACATCTACACCCAGCGGAACCTCAGGCGGCATGTTGGCATCGTGTTCTTTGACCTAGCGAAAGCTTTCGACACCGTCTGGCATCGTGGTCTGCTTGCAAAGCTAGAGTCCGTCTTCTTGGTACACGGTCCAGCCCTGCAATGGCTCTCATCCTATCTTTCCTGCCGCCACCAGACTGTCAGACTGTCAGACTGTCTACCTCCCTATCAGACCCATTACTAGTCGTGTCTGGGGTACCCCAGGGTCCATACTTGGGCCGCTCCTATTTCTACTGTACGTTAATGACTTGCCAGCCCTTGTACCAAATGTAAGTCTTTTTGCTGACGACACTGCTCTGATGTGCTCCGACAGCTCGGCAGACAACCTCACGGCCTCCATGCAGTCCGGGGTCAACGCTACAGTAACATGGATGGAAACCTGGAAACTGAAGCCTAACCTTGCCAAAACCGAGGCCATGTTCTTCTCTCCCTCGCCCCCCACTCAACTTCTGTATTTTCCTGATCTAAATAGTACACCTATTAAAGTTGTTAACGAGCACAAGCACCTGGGCGTTATTCTCGACCGCCAACTCTCCTGGTCTCCACAAGTCCAGTCTGTGTGCAAGCGTGCGAGTGCGTCCTTAGGTATGCTACAACCCCACTGCCAACACTTGAATGATAACTGCAGAAAATTGTTCTTTAAGTCGTACATTTTGCCTATATTTGACTATTGCGATATAGCTTGGTGCGGGTTGTCTCAGACTTTACTCCACAGACTGGAGGTACATCAACGCTTGCTTCTGAAAATTCTGTTTCGAAAAGACCAAACATTTGCCTCCCTTTGTCTTTATAAACTTGCTTCCACGCACCCTCTTCTTGCCCGACATCAGCAGCATCTTTGTATCCTTGTGCAAAAAATCTTCCTAGCCCAAGTCCCGAAACATATTGCCAAGTACAACTGGTTCGTTACCACTAGACCAACACGCAATGCCTTATCACTGCCCCGAGCTAGTTCCTCTCTGTTTTTGAAATCCCCTTTCTTCTCAGCATACTCCCTTTGGTCTAACCTGCCTACTAGCATTAAGACATGCCAGGATATCAGGAAATTCACAGTCCAGCTTTCCACACTGTCTCATCCGAAGTGATCCCATGTATTATTAATGTGCCTCCCTTTCTTTTTCTCTCCCTATCTCCTTTCCCTCTCTGACAGCGTCTTTCTTTTTTTTTCCCTTTTAGCTTGCCGTGGTTGGCTATCACCTGACCTCTCATGTTTATTGGCAGTCTTCGGACGGGCCAGGAGATGTTGAATAAATAAATAAAAATAAACAATCAGCTCAGGCGATATCATTGCACAAACGTGATCGACCGTAGAGTCTACTGACGGTCTACAACTAACTGGCGATCAGATCTAGTACGTCATTGGTGCGCACTCCAACATTCTTCCAACTTGGACTGTTGTAAGTGATATGAAAACATAGGATGGTAAGGTGAGCGCAACCAAAACAAGCACAAGCTGAAAATCTCAGCCATGAAGGACGTTGGCGGATGTTACTCGCACGACCATTAGACAATACGGTCAAACCAAGATTCAAGGACTCACAGCAACATACCACACCTTGCGTGGCTCCGAATATGAAAAGATCAAATGAAGGAGAAGCTAATTGAAATTGAACGATGAAAAATCGAACGCCTCAGTTAAACAGTACCGTACTTCGAATATGACAATTTGGACAATAGGCAGCAGTAACAAGCAGCAGTTTCACAAGGCCAGGGTTTCGCCGTACAGATAAGGAGGGCTCATCAGGTGCGCAGGGATAGCCTAGGATAGAGAACCAATTTTTTAAGTAAAGAAAAAGGACCAAGGAATTACTTCTGTCAGCTACTTTTTCTTTCGTAATATTCTAATTTCCGTCCTTTCTTTTTTAAATTCGGTCTTTCCATTCGCCTTCATATCATTGGGCATAGTTCCCGTTTATTGTGCGAATTAAAATAAACCAACCAACCAACCAACGACAAGTTATGCTAGTTACTTGACCGTATTGTCTGATGGTCTTGCCAGTATAGGCGTCGACATTCATGAACATCCGCCAACGTCATTAACGGCTGAGACTTTCACCTTCTCCTTGTCTTGGTTGCGCTGACCTTCCTCTGCTGTGTTTTCATAAACCTTAGAACCTTCTGAGTTGGATGGCTGTTGGAGTGAGCACCATACACGTTCTAGAGCTAGTAGCCAGTTAGTTGTAGAACGCCAGTGCTGTCGGTCAGTTTTGTGCAATGTTATCGCATGAGCTGATTGTCAAGTAACGGGTAGTTCTTGGTTCTTTTTCTTTACTATAAGGGAACTCGGAAATTATAGTACATAGAAGAGAGCTTGTTAGGGCATAGAAAATTTTTGTGTGAAGGTTTCGGAACAATTGGAAAAGTCGTTAAGGAGTAAAGGATTTCGACCAGGTTTCTGGCCTTTCCCTAGTTTAGACTTTGCCCATGAAGCCAGTAGCGATTTTTCAAAATCCACGATATATCTTTGCCCTTTTGGCCTTGTTTTTAAGAATGCTTTCAGCTGACCATGACGTTATGGATTCAAATCGCAACCTATATTCTACTCAAACTTTTTTCTTCCCTATTTTGTTGAGTCAAGTCAAAGAAGTTGTATTTCTCGCCGGCTGAGCGCAGCGAGATAGGCAAGAAACGATTTCTCGCGAAACATATTCAGTTGCAAATATGGCATCTGGTGTGTTCTTTATTGTCGCTTCTTTTCCTGACTTCTTCAGTCAGTTTTGAGTTTCACCAGTGTCCCTGCCCTCCCACCCTTCATTTCTGTGTGTATTATCATTGCCTTTTATCACTGTTTGCAGTGACGTGCTTGCCATGCCTATATGATGCCTAATCGCCATTGGGGATACACACCCGGTTTTTTCCCTCACAACTGCGTCCATCGGCGCGAGGGTTTTTCCCTGCTGGCTCGGTCCAGAAAAATTAATCTGACGGTCCCAAGTGGATCTGCATCATGGCCTATTTCTGCTATCCACTGGCACGCCTATTCTATCTGAGACCCTCTGTTTTCAGTCCTTACTTCCCTACCTCACTCGTTATCCGGTTCACATCTGGCTGCGGCCAACTACCCTTCACATCTGGCTGTGGCAAACTACCCTTCACTTTGTGTGTTGTCGCTATTGCTGTCTATGTCTCTGTGTATGCCAGTATATGTGGAGCGAGAAGGAGACTGCCCCGCGTGGAAGCATGTAGTTGATCTGGAGTTGTTTTCCTAGGTCTGCAAATCACTCCTGTACGTATCGTCACTACAAAATTGATTTGTATCACTCCCTAGTATCAACTGTACCTATGCGTGTTGGAAGCACATTTTTGTACTAATTTTAGTTCCTTTTATCGTACATTTAATCATTCACTTTATAGAAACTACTTCGTTTATGAAGTTGGTTGCTCCAACGAGGAGCACACGCTTCTTGCCGAACTTGACACTTGACTGACTCACGACTGCCATCCGGAGCACACGAGGAGCAGGTCGCACCTTCCGCTCGGCAAACCTGAAAGAAAAAGAAACCGTGTGGTCCTCGTTGGAGCAACCAACTTCATGACTATTACCGCCGAAGTCGCAACTTCTAAGTTCGTACTTCGTTTAGTTGTGTTTAATGCAATCGGAGACAACCGCATACTTTGGCTAATCAAGAGATGCAGATGTGTGCCTTTGATGTCACACTATCGGACTGTACACTTTCTCATGACTTTTAAGGACTGTTCGTAAAAACTCGTAACCTTTGGTCTTTCCTTTTGTACATAATCTATTGCTAACTTTCATGCCGGAAATATTTCAGTATTCCTTGAAAGGTTTGTCCTAGATTTTGCACGTCAGACTGTTCAAAGTCTGGTTTAGTTGGCGGACTCTAGAGCATGACTTGTGCCTACATTAACCATAATACAACATATTTCACTGTTCTCATGCAATTCAGATCATACGTTATGGGACAGCTACGATGTCCTTTTCTGGTGGCTCTCGCTCTAACGGCAGCTTGGTTAGGAACAGATGCAACTATAGACCGCTATGCTAGTAAGTCTCAGTCAACTGTGGTCAGTGGAATTAATAATTGATATGCATTCACATGAAACCTGTTCTGAGCAATGATGTGTGCTTCAGCTGTTTGGCTCATCTCAGTCTTACTGAATGCTAGGGGTGAGAATCACCATACACACTAAGACAATCTGGACGCGATAACAAGTGACAAATTACAAATTCTTTGTTGCTATTTTCACGACAAAATACTGCTGACTTTTGGCTCACGTCTCTCTCTCTTCCGCCTCACTATGGTCATTTACACACGTCTCCTCCACGTCATCCTCGTCTTCCGTCTCATCTTCACACTCAGTATTAGTCACGGCCTCATCATCCGTCTGATGCTGAGTCTCATTGTACTCCTCATCACCTTATATCATGGTTCCATCCTCTCCACCAACGTCACAAGTCTCTCTCTCTCTATCTCTCTCTCTCTCTATCTCTCTCTCTCTCTCTCTCTTTCTCTCCCCGTAGCTCTCTCCCCTTTGAGATTCGCTTCCTTAGAATTGGGCACCTTTGCCCGTTTGGCCTTGCGACGTAAAATAAAAATCAACAACAACAAGTCGTCTCATCACTGCTCAGCCTCACTAGTGCTTGGTTCGCTGCTACTACACATCCATTTACACTGTCCACTTTGCGTGCGCCAAGCCCATTCTCTGCATATATTTCAAGTGAGAAGTTAGCAATGCTTCTTCTGGGACTCTGGGTAAGGACATTGGGTCCATTTGGTTTACTATTAATTTTGATTTTGCCGATGAGCTCCCTCTCTATCCAGATACAGTCTGCACCGTGAATCCCAGCACCGGGGGGATCACCGTCTCGGTAGTAACCAAAAGAAAAGAGGATGGCTCAGGCAGACGCAAGGTCAACTGCCGAGGTGAGGGCTTAGTGTCTCCCAGTAGCCCCTCCTCCATTCCAGGAAGATGCAGTAGTGTTAGAGTATGCTCCTCTGCTGTTTGCAAAAGACTCCTCTGAGTCAGGAAGTGGTGACCAGGTTGCTGATAGCTAACCCACCCCAGCCCCAGCCACCCACGATATCGCGGCGCCACAATTGGTAGCACAGGTGGTGGCACGGGAACAGGTGGCACTGCTGGCACAGCGTGTTTGTGTACTGCGCTAACTGGGTTCTTGAACGGCCCACCACGCTTTGCTTTGCTCTGGTTACTTGTGTTTATACGAACAAAGGCACATGTTGATACGTGTGTTCAGGTGTTGAACAGTCCTAATAACGTACTGGGCAGCACAATTACGGCACTCAAAGAGAAAAAACAATTGGCTTGAAAGTTCGAAATAGAGGCTTGAGAGTTGAAAGTTATAACTATACAGTTATTTAAAGTTCTTTTCGTATACGTTACCCTCAGTTCCGATATTATTCACTGAAGAGCCGAACGCGAAAATCGATTTCGGAAAGTATAATTCTTAACATTCCTTAACTCGTTGTCTTGCCATGTTTGCAGCTACTATATTCTTCATTGCACTTGTAAAGTTAAGTAAGATTACCCTTTTCGCCGCTAAGGCCGTATATTTACGTCCTTGAGAATGGCGCGGGTTCACGAAGGACGAATATTTATGTCTTGTGTGTACATCACGTACTGATGAAACATTTCACAATTTGCGTATGTTCAGAAACTAGACCATGGTTTGAACAGACAGACGTACAGAAGGTAGGACCAGGCTGACAAGGAGTACTGAGACATTCCACGGCAGTCCTGGTTTACTTGGTGGACTCAAACGCATAACTTGTGCCCCACAGATTTCCTTCTTTAACTTTAATATTTTCCTTGGCTCACCATTTGAGTACATAATGTCATAAGATTAGATTCACACAGCTGGCTTCTTGTTTTATTATTAACGTATTTAACTCGGATGGTGAGCCAATTAAGTTATGGTGAAAAAGAAGGAAAAATATTACGAGTTATGACTAACTGTCCACCAACGTAACCAGATCATATACAGTCAGCGAGTGCGACAAAATGGCACAAAACTGACAAAGGAGTACTGAGACATTCGGCGACCTGACACCTAGCTCCAACACTTCTCCAAGGCGCAAACCAACAACCGTCCAACTTGGAAGGCTCAGGGTCGGAAAGGACCAAGCTGACTGTATAAGATCTGGTTACGTTGCTGCACATTTAGTCACAAGTTATCATAACTCGTAACATGTTGTCCTCCTTTTTCACCGTATTAAAATTATTATTAACTTTTATTTTAGTAGGGTGTTTTAAAAGCATCATCCAAAGGAAAATAGTTTGCGCATTTGTTGAAAATTTCAACAATTTATAGCCAACTTTATTTGGAGAGATATGTTGATTTCAGAGGGCGCAAAATCCACAATCTACATATGCTGAGAAGAATCGGTACTTTGAGACAAAATGATAATGCCTTTTTTTAGGTATCAGAAGGAGAGTCGATTCCAAAGGATAGAAGCAGACACCCTGTTTAGGGAAAGAGAAAAGGATCTTTTTTTAAACATACATGTACATTTTCTTCAGAATTCCGAAACTCCATTGCAGCGTACTTCTTGCACTGGGTAAAACAGCCATTCCGGCAACAGGCTCTCAGCTGCACCAAATAGATAAATAAATAACTTTGCCAATATTTCGCCCATTGGGCATCATCAGGGCATTGAGGAAGGGGAGGCAAAAACACGAAATATAAAGACGAATAATGCAGGCAGATGAATGTTCTAGAACTAACACATCGTGGTGACACAATTGACAAGGCCAGCAAACTACACTATCATCACTTGTAAGGTGACCTAAACAGAAAGAAAGAAGAGAAAACTGAAACATACGAACAGACACAATTTGGCAAGAAGGCAAGAGAACTAACACTAACACTAAACCCTGTTTACTTTAGAAATTCTCGTGCCCACGCGTCTTGCAGAGCCGAATATGGAACCCTGGAGTTGGATCTATTTCAATTGGATTCGCGATCCCGTAACATTACCAAAAGTGAATGCGGAGGAATGTACTTGAATCTTTTTGAGAGGTCAGTTTGATAGTTAAATTTAGCGGATTACTATTGTTGTTCACGCTCTTTGTCCTTTTTCGCTGTGTAGTTCACTTCAACTGTAATACCCCAGAGGGCCTCTACTACATCAGCTCCAGCAAGTGGATAGGAAAATCGGCTAGAGATGTTAACTCAACTTGTGCTTCGGGTTATGGATATCATATACTGCAAGCTTCAGAAGCAAATTCAACATGTTTCCGCGATTACTTGGCTCACATTGACTATATGCTTGATGCCAGCGTTACCGTCTACACCGAATCAAATGGAAACATATCTTGCTACCGGTCGAGGGGTCCATGCCCGGACTCAGGGCCTATCATTGTGTGCAGCAATAAGCTCGCTGATGCTAGCAATGGTAGGACTAGCTTAAGCGCCTCCATTTTATTCATTCTTATGTTCCGCAATTCCCAAATGGCATTTCTGTTTACTTAACAGCCCGACTTAACAGCTGGGGATTATTGCCAGCTAAGATACCAAATCATACTTTTCCCGATACTTGAGGAGTGTGCCAGGGTAAATACCCCCTCTTTTCCATGCTTCTTCTACTAGAGTGGCCTTAAGCACACTCATATTGTTTTTATGACTTCTTCTGAAGGCAGTTTCCAGAAGAAATCACACAAAAAGAAGGTGGAAACCTAAAAACGCTGGAGATCGCGCTTCATACCAACTACTGATATAATACTTGACGGGCTGGCGACTGTCTGGAGCACACAGGAAGAGTGAGTCAACCCCGCAAACCAGCAAGAAAGCACCACACCCTTCTCAATTCACAGTATGCCAGGGAATTCACCCCTATCTGTTGAGCTTGAGTAGGCTGAGGAGGATTGTGCCTGGAGAGCACCACATATAAGCCAGAGCACGCTAAAATATGACCACAGACGAAAAATTCGATTTTCATTTTTTTGGTTCAAAAATGATCAAACACAGCTAATGTTCACTGTCCGAAAGTTTTGGATTGATCTGACATGTCTAAGTGTTGCTACAATGGTAATATATGCAGCACTGTTGAAATAGTGAAATTCTATGTACAGCAATAGGATTGTCACTTTTGCACACAGTTGATATGTCCCTTAGTTCATCTTTTCCAGGTCAGCTCCTCTGTCCAGGTTCTTATAGCATGAGCTAACAGGTACTCAGCCACATCCAAAATTTCTATGGCAGCTGAGCTGGGTGTCCGAAATACCTCCTGTTTGGAGCACCACTGGAGAACTGCCAGCGAAAACACGGTCAACATCTGTAGACGGACGAAGAAGTTGACACTCTACGTCCTCTCCATCACACTCCACCTGTACTTTCAGATATACGATATACACTGCTGCACACATCTTCCTCAACATACTCGACGTCGCACTCATATTCCCCACACCAAAGCCCATCTGCACACGGTTTTCTCCGCTCGCCAGAGAGCACTGCTTTCGCTGCCTACTGTTCGTGCGAGCGATGTTCCGCATAAGGGTACTCAAATTATCGTTTTGAGCAAGTTAAGGGAGCAGCAGAGTCCATTGATTGTTTTTGCAATTGCAACAATACTGGCATTGTCCCGGATATATGCAGCGATGTCCATTCTGGCCAAATCATCCGCCGACTCACCGCCCAAGTCAGTGTCGATGCCAATCGCTTGCCAGATTGTCATCAGATTAGAATTCCTCGTAACTGCAGATCGTGGGACTACCTCATCAATTCTTTTACGCTCGATGAAAGTGTAGCCCTCAAATGACTCGTCGCGCGCTGTAGCCTTCATCGTCTTCCTTCTGTTTCCGACCCGAGTCCTCAAAATAGTTGATCCTGCGCATGAAGTGCGAGGATGTCGCCTTCTTCCGCTCCACAGTACATTACTACTACTAGGCTCTTCCGTCGATACATCGATGAGGATCAGTTTTAGGCGACTCAGCGCAACATAGAATACAAACTCAAACAAATAAACTTACTTGAAACAAAGAAATGCATCCGGAACAGTCTAGTCGACCGAGGAGAACAACAACAGCGACTCGCGTTGAACTGCACTTCGTATTTTTTGGCGCGGAATTGAAATCGTGATTTTCTCGACTTTTCCAAAAAAGCTGTGGTCATGTTTTAGCGCGCTCTGGCTCAATTATATTCATGTAGTGCCCTCCATGAAAAAACATCACCAGGGATAGAAACCTATAAAAGGTGCTCCGTTTCCAGAGCGACAACCACCTCGGGAGCACCAGGGCCTAGGGAGCGGCGTGAGTCAGTGTCGCTCTTGGAGTTGTGGGCATCAGGTCAGTTATGCGCGTGACATTTCGTTGGGAGACATTTTGAGATGGTCAATTCATTGGATGACATTTCTCGATTGTGCTGTTTCACAGCTTGATTTTTTTGGCCGCATAACACATTCGGCTGGGGTCACTGGGGAAGTCGTGAGCTGCGGTGAGCTTACCATCTTCCGCCGCTTTGAAGCGCACAGGGCGCAGAGCCCGAAATACAGCCGACTATGTTCCACCCAAAGCAGTTAATCTGGGCACAGTGGTTAGAGTCCAGCGGATAATGCTCCAAAAATGTTCGTATAAAGCTAATCATAATGCTCCAAAAACTGCCTTATAATGCTGATTATAATGCTTCAGCAAGGGATATAATGCTCTTGGTTTGGTACAAAAATGGAAGAAAGTCTGCACATTGTCAAACTTCCAGGAAATTATGCATATCGTCAATCTGCATTTGAAGTTGCCACCTCATCTCTCACGAGCTCCACTACTTCTTAGCACTATAAGACATGATCGCTTCTCCATTGATTGCTCTCCATTCCAACTTTGATGCAGGGTTGTAGCAGAATAGTCGGTGTATCAAATCCCTCCCCTAATTATCCATGTAGTGAGAGATGAAACCATTATTGCAGGTAGTCATTCATTGTTGGGATGAAGTTAATCTTGGCAAATAGTATTCCTGCTTGCAGACAAGCTGTCACTGCGTCCACTCTGTGAATAATGTCTTCATCTGAAACACCATACGTGAGGCCAGATCCGATCTCAGATGGAGAGCCCTCCCATTTGCGGAAATCCTGAGAACACGTGGTCAGACGTTATTTTGCCACTCTAAATCCTTTGCTTGTGCTCTCATCTTCTCATTGACATGGTGTGTAGACGTATGGCTTGCCACAATACTCTTCCTTTCTGATAGCATTTGGCTGTAGGCCTGGCATTACAACCGTCCACAACTAACTGTACGCAATTCATCAGGAAAGTAAGACAGGCGCTGCTGAGCAATCGACTTGGTACTGAGTCCATGAGAAATTCTAGTTCTTTTCGAGCCTCCTGAGCTGGACTCGGCAAAGGAAGTTCTTTTGGAACGAGCTCTTTCTGATTCTAGCCGCTCCTTCATCGGAAGTTCATCCTGGTCCAAATTTAGCACTGCATCATTGTCTACTTCAGTAAAGCTAGAGATGCTATCGCCAGAGCCTCTGGCACAACTAGAAAACTCTTCTTCGTCTGTTTGATATTCACTTCGCGTACGTCTCCTCCGTAGCTCTCCATTATTCTAAAAGTAACAGAAACCTCGTAAATAATTTCTCCGGATTTGTGTAACTTGAACTGCCTAGGCATCGGTTGGACATGCTTCACAAATGGCTTGTATACATTTACCTGACCACATTGCTACAATCATAACGTTTTTATGTAGCAATAGTTATGTAGCGTTAGTGCTAAAGGTGTTACGTGTCTACACAATCACAAAGTCATGCGCCGGTACGAGGTACAATGCATAGTGCTCAAATGCACGGAATGAGCGGAGCGTAGTACGCAAGAGGTAGACAAAAGTAGTAAAATAGGGCTGTGTCGTTGTTACTCAGAGTTTCATGGCAAAAACCAATCATCAGACAACATCTCATGATCATGATTGTAGCCGATTGCTGCCAAAAACCTAGGATTTCCCGATATTATCCACTATGACACTCGTTATGCCGCTCAAACCTCACATAATGCTCGTTTTGTTCCATTTTTATTTTATTCCCGTAGCTATGCAGAAGACGTTACTTCAGTTACGTCTGGCGCTAGCCAGGGTCCACACAGCTTTAATTTGGTGTTTGTTTGTTTGTTTGTTTGTGTCACGGCTGGAGCTATCCCGTATCTGTCCCGTATCTGTGACTACAAAGGCTCTACAGGATTGTACATAACAGCTGTCCACAATATTTGCAGGCTCCTGTATCTGTCCCGTACCGTACCAATATTCGTCGTATTATGTATACGACTCCCTGATGTAGAGGGAGATTTTGAAAGAAATAGGGAGACGAGGAGGAAATTAAATTAGAATAGACGCCGAATAGGTGATAGGATAAACATAAACATACTTTGGAAGAGAGATCCCGTCGTCTCCAAAATAAGCGTGAACGAGCGATTCAGCGCCGGTCACAGGAAACGTCGGAAGAGATATCCCGTCGACTCCAGAACGCCCGTGATCGGCAGAGTCCGCCGGTCCCAGGCAACGTCAGGACAGACATCCCGTTGAGTCCAGAACGCCCGTGATCGGCAGGGTCTAAGCCGGTCCCAGTAAACGTCAGGACAGACATCCCGTCGACGCGCAGAAAAACTAAATCTGCAGTCTCTTTTGCCGTCAGACAGGATACGTATTTTAGGACACTGTAAAGTTATGTAATGTCCAAATTTCGACGTGAGCAGCAGGTCACTCGCGTTGATTTTTCGACGTGCGAGCCTAATAACGCGAGCTGAACTTTCGCGTGGCAGACATCCCGTCGACGCGCAGAAAAACTAAATCTGCAGCCTCTTTTGCCGTCGGACAGGATAAGTATTTAGGACACTGTAAAGTTATGTAATGTGCTCCACAGGCAACCATGCATTCGGCGTCGTCATTGGCTCAACAGGTCAATGTACATGTATTACTACAAAAAGGCCAGAAAATCCGATTACTGTATTAAAATCAACTAATTTTCGCTGGCGATTTAATTTCTCTGATTTCGCCACTTGGTACATGGTACCAACCGGCCAAAGTAAATCGCAGGCCAAAGTTTGTCATATAGGCAAATGATGCATGATTGAGCAATGGATGCATGTGAGAGCAAAATACGGATCGATTTCAAATTTGACGTGAAATTGCGCGTCACGTCGGAAATAACGTGCATCTTAACCTCTCTAATAGAGAGGTTTCTATTTCTCATCGGCCAAAATTTGTTGATTTACAGTATAAGGAGATAAAAAGAAAAGAAGGAGCAAACCAAAAGTAGATGATTATTAGAGAAATAACAATCCGCAATAAATTCTGCAAATAGTTTTGTCTAACTCATAATATTCGAACCGATTGAAACGTTTTTGCAATACAGTGATGTGGCCAATCAGCGGAAAAAGACATTTCCATCAGTTCTTAGAACATTTACGATGAGCTAGG